ACAAGCAGACCCCTCGCTGAGTAAGGAGCCCGATGTGGGACTCGATCCCAGGACCCCGGGATCATGACCTGAGCCGAAGGCAGACGCTTAACGACTGAGCCACCCAGGCGCCCTATAGCACTGATCTTTAAACATTGTTTCACTGAGCTGATGGAATTAAAGCTGATCACAAGCTTGGCAATACTATGTTCCATGAAAGAAGTAAAAGAAGTTACACAATAACACAAATGCCAGAGTGATGAAACACCTTGAGATTCATCTGATCAAATCTTACTCATAGATAAAGAAACCAAGGTCCAGAAACATGAAGTGACTTCTCAAGATTGGGTTTCCAACACTATCCTGAAACCTTCTTTGACCTTTTTGGAGGTCATCTTTATTCCTCTGGGATCCCCCATGTACTGCTTGTACCTCTTTTTAGTGTTGTATTTGGTCTTCCTTCTTTAGGTTTGCAGTATTTGGGAGATTGAATCAATGTCTAACTTCCAGGGTTTAGCATAGAAGCTAAACTCATAGTCAATGCTTCATAGATGCTTGTGTAAAGATGGGAGGGAAGAAAGGAGGAGGAGGAGAAGAAGTAAGGATGGGTTTAAAGCTTAGTGATTTGATTTATCACTAGTAAACATGGTGGCAAGCCACATTTGAGAACCCAAGCCCAACAATAGTGGGTACGTTGGAACATGAAGCAGGGAGCTTCTCCAGGCTCCTGAGGTGGTATAGGCTTTTCCCTCCTTTTCCGTCTCCTCCTGGATCCATGGGATAAATTGAGCCACAGACACAAACATACCAGGCCTCCCCCTGAAGCCAGATCTTATGCCCCAACTGAAGACACCCACTTGGAAGAGCCTCTGGGTTCCATGGATAGTACAGACCATAGGTGCCCCACTGTCTCCCTGAGAATGAGATAATGAAGAAGATACAGTCTGCACAGAATCAACAATAGCTCTAAAAAGAGGGCAACATGAGAGGGTCCCAGTGGCATAGGCTAGGGGCCTCACTCCTGGGCTCTCTCCTGAGAACCTAGAAAGTGGTGGGGGATGTGGAGGATGGGGCCAAGGCAGGGACTGAGTACCTGGCAATTGCCTTTGGTGCCTGGTTCCTTCCAAGCACAAACCATGTTCTTAGAGAGCTGGTCTACCCTCTTGCTGCATTGTCTCCAGCTAATCTGCATCACTCTCAGCTTCTGCAGGTACATGTTTAAGTTGTCATGTTGGTCTGGGAAATGAGGAAGCTAGTGTGAGAATGAGTGCTACATCAACCACTGAAAGTGACTGGCCCACAAATGATCAGGGTGGAAGCCATGGAATGATGCAAACAATTCACAAATCATAGACTCACAGGGTAGAAAGGTCTTAGAGGTGACCTAATGTAATTCCCCACCTCAATATCCCCTTCAGGATCTCCAATAAGTGGTTCCTTCATTTCTACTTCTATGTATTCCCTTTGGGAAACTCATTCCTTCCAGAAGCAGCGTACTAAACCCCCAGCACCAGCCCCTGCCAGGTAAACCTAGAATAAGCTTTCTCCATGGTTTTACTATCTCTCCACAGCTATGCTTGGTCCCTGTACAGAGGTTCAGAACAACCCAACTTCTGAATCAGTATTGTCCAGTGTCTCTGCTAGGCCAGTGGAGAAACCAGGAAAATGACCCACCTATTATTGTCAGTTTGTGGAAAGGAAAAGATTATAATTCTAGAGGAACTTCTGGCTTCCCCATCCCATTCCCAACCTCCCAGAGGTTCTCCCTGTCTGGCCAGCCTTGTGCCCTGGGAAAGGAGTAGAGTCATTGATGACAAAGCTTGGTTGGAGAATCACTGGTTCACTTATTTTGATCATTGATTTTCATCAAATGATAAACAGATGGGGAAATGCACATTATAAAACAACCCATGAAGGAAGAATCCAAACTAGCTTTCTAGTGCCCAGTGCTTCTGGGCCCCCCCAAAATTATCAATGTCATATTTTGAGATTCTTCTATATTCCAGACTTTCACTAGGGACTTTACAAGTATAATTGCATTTAATTTAATCCACATAACTGATTCGAGGGAGACATTGCTGTCATTCTACAGGTGAGAAAAAAGTGAGAGTGACTAAGGGGAAGGAACTAGCTCAAGATCACAAAGCTAGAGTAGTGAAGCCAAAATTCAGACCTGAGTCTTCCAAAGCATCATGCTGTCTAGCCCAAGGAAGCATAAATGTGAACTTTCTGTGGCTTTTGAAGGGAAGACACATACCATATTCATAAGCTGTCACCCACTCTGCCATCCAACACCGGTCCCAGATCCTTTCCTTCTTCTGCAGACAGATGGGCATTTTGAAGTTAGTGAATTGTACTGGTGTGGCAAGCAGGAGCAGGGAGAGGTCACTGTCAAGGTGGGATGGTTTATAATCTTTGTGAATAATTATCTTCTGCACTTGCTTTCTCTCCAAGTGGATATCGCTGAATCTTTTGGTTCCCATGACCACAGTAACATTTCCCAATGCCATTTTTAACCTAAAATATGAATATAATAACTCCAAACTATAATAATAGTTACACTGCATTTCACATTTATAGACACATTTGTAAACAAAAGAGTTTACAACTGATACTGAGAAATCCAAAAAAGTGGATGTGTGGTGCCCTAGAGACTGGCTAGAGATCAGAGTGGCAAGAATCAGGGATCCAGACTCAGGCAAATGTCCAAGCTAATGAATCATCAGCCCAGGAAGTTTTCCCTGACCCAAAGGAAGAGGAATGAATCCATCCAAGAGAATAGAATGTGAATTCCTTGACAATAGAGATTTTGAATATCTTGTTTACTGCTATATCACCGCACTTAGAACAGCACATGGTAGGTGTTTAATGAGTATGTGTACAATGAACAAACACAGACATGTGCCAGGTAGGAGAAGGGAAGATTTGTACTGATTTTCCAGTACTGGATACATAGTCACAACTAGCAGCCAACCTTAGGATATGGTTCACTTAAAAGAAGAAAGTGGGTGTAGAAAAGAGACTTTTTGGTACAAAGCCAATGGGAACAAACTGGGTATAGAGTCCATGGCTTCATAAGCCTTGTGCACTAATCCATTAAGCTACTCAGCCCAGACAAAATGTTGAGGAAATTTGATGTAAATTAAGACAATGCTTCAGAAACTTACAGGGTTCTTGGGAAGCAATGTGCAGCTGTCAAAACCCACCACCGATGTATGATTGAGCCTCCACAGAGATGTTTCCGTGAGATCTGGATACTCACTTGCCATGGGAACTCACCTTCCTGGACTTCAAACAGTTCATGAAATGATAATGATGATGAATTTGAAAAGGCAGGTCGGTGGCCACACTGAACTTTGTCTGAAAGAGAAATGAAAGAGCCATTTGTACATGAGGAGCACTGAGAAACCCTTCTTATCTGGTATTCCCAACATCTTCCAAGTTTAGACTGGTAATGAAGCTGAGTGAAATAAATGAGCAGGCACAGATGGGCAGGTCTCAGAAAACACCAGCAAAACACACCTCCTTTAATGTCCGTCCCTCACATTCAAAAACTACTGTGAGACCTGGAGAAGTCAAGGCAGAGATCCATCAGACACTATAAAAGGGTTGGGGTGTCAATGCAAAAGGGCCAAAGATATGTAGGATCCATTCAGGAGACAGCAACCATGCAGAATTTGAATAGGGAAAGTTAATATCAAGAATTATAAACTATAACAGAGGAATAACTACAAAGGGTCAAGAGGACTCCAAGAATACCATAAGGTTAGGGGAGAGTGGAAGGACTGAATTTGGCGGGGGAGCCCCTCCCCAAGGTTCGGGTTCAGAAATCACTGGATAATGTGTGTTTGCAGCCCAAAGGAAAACAGAAGTTTGCTAGTTCCTAATGCTACACAAGCAGGAAACATCCCTTTAAAGTACAGCTGGATTGAAACTTAACACCCCTCCTGGTAAGCAAGGGAGGTGAGCAGGAGGGAGCTTAGGTATCAAGAGCCTGCTCATAAGCCAGAGGGCACAAGGCCTGGGATGTCCATGTCTGTGTTGGCACAGCTGCAGTGAGGAGGTGTAAGGAAATTGGAAGGATTTGGGGGACCGATCGAAGAAAAAGATATGACCACAAGGTGGCAGTAGCACACACAAGCCTTATTTTAATAGGTCGGCATGCAATAGAAGCCCTTTACAACAGGAGACCATTCAGAAACTAAGGTATAAGGGTCACCATCCAAAAGGGGAGGAGGACAAGGGAACTCCCAGGGGGAAAGAGATCAGAGAAGGTGCTTAACATCTAGGTAATGTTGCTCAGTGGCAGAAATGGGAGTCTCTGAGTCAGAGAAATATTAAGGGCAGCAGTGGTGTGGGTGTTGATAATCAACAGGCTTTATCTTATCTATGACTAGCAGATACTGGGTGCAGTTTCACAGGGTATGCAAAACAGGCAGGCTCTCAACGTCTAAAAACTGCTAAGTTGGCCTTGTTGAAAACAAATGGATGGGGCTCCTGCATGGCTCAGTAGTTTAAATGGCTGCCTTTGGCTCAGGTCATGGTCCCAGGGTCCTAGGATTGAGCCCCGTATGGGGCTCCCTGCTCAGCGGGGAGTCTGCTTCTCCCTCTTCTTCTCCCTCTCTCTCTGCCCCTCCTCTGTTCGTGCTCTCTTTCTCTCTACCTCAAAAAATAAATAAAATCTTTAAAAAGAAAAAGAAAAAGAAAACAAATGAATGTGTAAAAAATTAAGTTTGGCGGGGCACCTGGGTGGCTTAGTTGTTAAGCATCTGCCTTCAGCTCAGGTCATGATCCCAAGATCCTGGGATCGAGACCCTCACTGGGCTCCCTGCTCGATGGGAAGCCTGCTTCTCCCTCTCCCACTCCACATGCTTGTGTTCCCTTTCTTGCTCTCTCTCTCTCTGGCATATAAATAAAATCTTTAAAAAAAAATTAAGTTTGACACCGGCAGGCTTTCAGCTGATGGGTATTGGCCTGCTATGAAGAAATAAACAATCTATGGTCTAATAGACAAAAGCCATTTTGGGGCCATTTATATACCAGGAGGTCACTAAACAGGGGACTAGACTCAAGCTTATGACCCATGGCTAGAGCCAAGCACTTCTGGATGTCCTCTTCCTGCAACAATCATACTGAAGGAACAAAGGGAAGCAAACAGAAGCATGCCAGACAGAACCAGGAAAAAAGCCCTTTCCTTCTGCAGTATCTGTGTAGTATCTTCTACTGAGGATAATTTTGTTTTTCAGATTAAGATATAACTGACATAGAACAGTGTGAAAGTTTAAGATGGACTGTTGATTTGATACACTTATATATTGCAAAATGATTACCACACATAGCATTAACTGACATCTCCACCACATCCCATTATTACCTTTTCTTTTTTGTAGTGAGAACATTTAAGATCTACTCTCTTAGCAACATTCAAGTATATACTACAGTACTATTAACTATAATCACCATATATTACATTAGGTTCCCAGAATTTATTCATCTTCTAACTGAAAATTTGTATCCTTTGACCAACCTCTCCCCATTTCTCCCACCCATAGATAACCACCACTCTACTCTCTGTTTCTATGAGTTTGTTGTTGTTGTTGTTGTTGTTGTTGTTTTCAGATTCCAAATATAAGTGAGATCACATAGTATTTGTTATTCTCTGTCTGACTTATTTCACTCAGCGTAATGCCCTCAAGGTCCATTCATGTTGTTGCAAATGGCAGGATTTCCTTCTTTGCTATGACTGAATAATATTCATGTATTTATCACATCTTTATTCATTCATCCATTGACAGACACTTAGGTCGTTTCCATATCTTGGCTATTGTGAATAATGCTGAAATGAATGTGAGAATACAGACAACTCTTTGAGATCCTGTTTTCCTTTCTTTTGAATATACACCCAGAAGTGGGACTGCAGGATCATATAATAATTCTATTCTCAATTTTTTAACGAAACCTCATTCTGTTTTCCAAATTGGTTGCACCAATTTACATTCCCACCAACAGTGCACAAGAGTTCCCCTTTTTCTACATCCTTGCCAATACTTGTTATCTCTTGTCTTTTTGATAAAAGCTATTCTAGCAGGTGTGAGGTGATATCTCTTTGTGGTTTTGATTTGCATTTTCCTGATGATTAGTGATGTCAGTGTATCTGTTCATGTTTCACCTATCTGTTGGTCATTTGTATGTCTTCTTTGGGAAAATATCTATTCAGTTCCTCTGTCCATTTTTTAATGAAAAGAAAGTTTTGGCTATTAAATTATGTGAGTTCTTTATATATTTTGGATATTAAGCCTTTATCAGATATATGATTTGCAAATACTTTCTCCCATTCAGTAGGTTGCCTTTTAGTTTGTTGACTTTTTCTTTTGTTGTGCAGAACTTTTTAGTTTGATATAGTTCCCCTTATTAATTTTTCCTTTTATTGCTTGTGTTTTTGGTGTCACAACCAAAAAATTGTTGCCAATAACAATGTCAAGAAACTTTTTCCTTTGTTTCTCCTAGGAGTTTTTTTTTTTTTTTAAGATTTTATTTATTTATTTATTTATTTGAGAGAGAGAATGAGATAGAGAGCATGAGAGGAGGGAGGTTCAGAGAGAGAAGCAGATTCCCTGCCGAGCAGGGAGCCCGATGCGGGACTCGATCCTGGGACTCCAGGATCATGACCTGAGCCGAAGGCAGTCGCTTAACCAACTGAGCCACCCAGC